AAACAAACAAAAAAAACCTAGATTCCAGTCCCATCTCCCCAACTTACTTGAATGACTTTTACCTAACATCTCTGAGCACAGCTTCACCATCTGTGAAATGGGGCTAATAATAGTACCTGTCTCATAAATTGTTGAAAGGATGCATGTAGTTCCTGGTGTGGCTCCTGGTACACTGTGCATCCTCAGAATCCAGACATTCTATGGCAGCCCCCATTCTGGCTGGAGCATAGCATGGATGGGAAGGTGATGGAAAACAAGCTGGAGACCAGATCAGAGAGACCTTGAAAGCCTCACGCAAGAGAATGGGCTTGCATGGCAGCCACAGTGGCTTGGAGGATGGATTAGAGGGCGGAAAAGAGAGACTGAGGAGCTTGATTCTCCTCTCTGTCCACAGATCACATCCCAATCTGCATGCATGCGTGTGCTTCTTTAGCTCTGTTCCCATTTGGAAGCCAGGCCTCAGAGGCCCAGATAGGAGTTTCTGGCACCCCACTGACTTCAGCCACTCTCCACTGTACAGAATAGTGCCTGGCATGGAGCAGACTCTGAAGAAATGTTTACTGAATGAATAATGAAAACATCATCTGCCACGTAGTCCTCACTAGCACTCACCAGGTTCCGTAATTCATTACCTCATTTGAGTTTCACTACAAGTGCCATGAGGTAGATATTCCCATTTTGTGGGTGGAAGACTGAGGGTCAGCAAGTTTAATCAACTTTCCCAAGGTCACACACCTTGCAAGCCTTATTACAAAGTCTCCTTGCCCCCCACTTGGTGCACGAGTGTGGCAGTGAATGAATGTGCACTAGTGAAAAGGAGTCAGTGGAGGGGTCTTTAGACCTCGAGCCTGGAATAAGCCAGCCTCTTTCTACAGCTGGTGGTGGGGGACCTTGGCCCCGGTGGGCAGCATCCCCGCCTGAAGGTGCTCAAAGGACCCACAGTGCTGACTGAAAGTCCCTTACCTGCACTGCCAGCTGCCGCCGCCACCTTCCTCATGGAGCAGCACGAGCCCCGGACACCAGCTCTAGCACTCGCTTCAGGCCCTTGTGTGTATGTGTATAAGAATCTTAGGCCCTACTTCAAGTTCAGCCTGCCCCAGTTGCCTCCAAACCCCCTGGAACAAGAACTTTGGAACCAGGCCAAGGAGGTAAGTGATGTCGGGGATGGGAATAAGAAGGCAAAAATGGCGGCCACTGAGTCATCCTCATTCCCTGCCTGACTGTGGAGCTCACAGGCTTACCTTTTTTCCTTGCTGTCATAGGACCGGATTGACCCCTTGACCCTGAAGGAGATGCTGGAAGGCATCCGGTGAGAACCCACTTATCCCTTCGTATGCTTCCCACCCCTCCTTCAATCCTCCAGCCCCTCTTCTTCAGCCCATGCTCTCCGTCTGACCCCCAGGGTCCTGTTCCTCAACTAAATCTGCCATGATTGCCCCTCTCCTTTCAGGGAGAAGGCAGAAGTGCCTTTGTCTGTTCAGTCACTCAGGTAAGGGCCCTGTGGAGGGCCAGGGCTCCCGAAGCTCCAGGGGGAAGGGAGTGGCTAAGGAGTGGCCTGTGGAGGGAAGTAGCCCAGGCCATGCAGATGCCAGTTCTCTGTGTGTGCAGGTTTTTACAGCTGGAGCTGAGTGAAATGGAGGCATTTGTGAGCCAGCACAAGTCCAAGTCCATCAAGCGGCAGGTAACATCCCTTCTCTCTATTTCCCTGTAAAAAATATGGACAATTTTTAAAATAGACAATGTAACATCAGTGGTAGGTTCTACAACCAAACCCGACTAGTTTCACTTTGCAGTTTCCTTTCCAGCCTGTGCCACACATATATGGTCACAAAGCTGCAGAGCCTTCTACATTTCCAGCTGACAGTGGCAGCTTTGAATTGATATATAGTTACACAACTTTATATAACTTTTATTGTCTTAAGAGTAAAGGTAACATATTTTCATTAGAGAATAAAGAGAAGTATAAAGGAGAAGTATAAATGACTATAATCTCACCATCCAGAGGTACTCGTTCTTACCATTTTGGTACATTTTCTTGATAAATATGCTTTATAATTTGCTTCCCTTGAGTACAAAACATTATATCTTGAGCATTTAAATAGTCTTTAAGAACTCCATTCTTTTTTTTTTAAAGATTTAATTATTTGAGAGAGCGTACATGAGATGGGGGAGGGTCAGAGGGAGAAGCAGGCTCCTCGCTGAGCAGGGAGCCCGATGCGGGACTCGATCCGGGGACTCCAGGATCACGACCTGAGCCGAAGGCAGTTGCTTTAACCAACTGAGCCACCCAGGCGCCCTAAGAACTCCATTCTTAATGGCCCCTTAATTATTTCATTGATTATTAATTATTTCATTCATAGTTTATGTAACTATTCATGTATACTGGATAAGAAATGTATCCCTTTTATATTCACTTCATATTTTTCTTAGTTACAATTTTAATGGTTTTATTGATGAACCTATTCATTAAACTCTGGTGGTTACTGACCTGGGGGCTGACCCTCAGTCTAGTCCCAGGGCTGCTCTTTGTATTTTAGAAAGCCTCATGGGATCCCTCCAATTCCTGTATAAGCCACTTGAACCAAATGCATGGACCAATGCATGCCTCAGTTTTTGGCTAGCCTTAGACCAGTGCTATTCTCTTCTGCTGATCAGCAGCTCAGATCCACAGTTATCAATATCTTTGAGTTCTTACAAAATCATGAAGTGAATTAATTATTGCTTAAAAGATGCAGTTTGGGGGAGGGAGGAAATCTTTCCAAGATATATATGTCGTGATTATATAATTGGACACCATTACCATCCATGTTTCTGTAACCTCTTTCCACTAAGCATTGAGAATGATTCCTCTTTTTTAATCTTAAAGATAATCACACAATAAGTAGCTTTATCCAAAGAAATATTTTGGTCCTGCTAAATTATTTTCATAGGAGAAATTCCTAAAAAAGGGATCATCCTCTTCTCTTTTGTTTTTTCTCCAGTCACAATCACAAAAGGAACATGTGCCCACTGTAGAAATTCTAGAAAAGCACAATGAAGAAATTAAACATCACCTGTGATTTCATTGTCCAGAGATAACCAGTTTTTGTATTTATGAGTATTTATTTATGCCTTCCAGCATGTTTTTTTATTCAGATATTTTTTTAAACTAGGATTATACTAACATAACACTTTACCTATTTTTTTTTTCTTAATACATTAGAAGTGTTCTACAAAACATTAGAAGCTGAGGCTTCTTTATTTATTAAGATTATTTATTTATTTATTTATTTGACAGAGAGAGAGACAGCGAGAGAGGGAACACAAGCAGGGGGTGTGGGAGAGGGAGAAGCAGGCTTCCCGTGGAACAGGGAGCCCAATGCGGGGCTCGATCCCAGGACCCTGGGATCATGACCCGAGCCGAAGGCAGACGCTTAACGACTGAGCCACCCAGGCGCCCCAGTTGAAGCTTCTTTTAAAATGTGATTTTTACATGGCTTTTGATCAAATGGAAACTTGTAATGGACTTAAGCCTCTTTTTTAGAAAGTTAGGTTTGTTGCAATAAACACTTTTGTACATAAAACTTCTGCCACATCTCTGGTACTCTTCCTCCTCCTTTGCCATCTTTCTTCCCTCCTTTGGTATTCTGGGGGTGTCTCTGGGGATGGTGTGTGGGGATCTCCTGGGTGACTCTTGAAGTCCTTCTGCAGACAGTCATCACAACCATGACCACCTTAAAGAAGAACCTGGCTGACGAGGATGCTGTGTCTTGCCTGGTGCTGGGCACTGAGAACAAGGAGCTCCTGGTGCTGGACCCGGAGGCCTTCACCATTTTGGCCAAGGTCAGTGTGGGGCCTGGCCCTCGGCACAGCTGAGGCCCAGGCTGCATTCCCTCCCTCTGTTCCCCTACATCTCCTGCCCGTAGTTCTTGGTAATACATGTTGTAGAAAACTTATAAAATGTAGATAAGCATAAAGAAAATAATATATGTCCAAGAAAATACCACCACCCACAATATCTACTATTAAAGTTTTGGTGTGTCTTTCCAGAATTTTTATATTGAGACACAGATATATAACTTATAAATACATTTTTTTTTTTACAAAAATGACTTAGTGGTAGAGGATCATGTAACCTGCTCTTTTTATATACTAGTAGCCCATCATTGTGGGCTTTTGCTACATGTTGCTGAGTTTCCCTCCAGAAAAATTGAACAAATTTAAACTATGACCCACAGTGAGGGAGGAGATTGGGAATTTGGACAAGGAACCAACTCAGAGGAGTTACTTCAAGGTAAGGAAGGACAGGGGTGCCAGAAAACCTGGGATATTTGAGCCTCTCCTTTGCAGATGAGCCTACCCAGTGTGCCTGTCTTCCTGGAGGTTTCTGGCCAGTTCGATGTAGAGTTCCGGCTTGCCGCTGCCTGCCGCAACGGGAACGTCTATATCCTGAGAAGGTAGCCGCATCGTGGCCTCTGGGGCCAGGAGGAACATCTCAGAACCCGGGTGATGTTAGGGGCTTTGGAGCTGGTATTTGGGAGTGGAAAGAGCTGGGAACTTCATAGAGAAGGCTGAGCTCACGTGCCTAGGGGGCCATCTGGAGGCTTGCATGATGGGGACTGGCAAAGTGAGAGACTGGGCAGAGTGACTATTACATGTGAGCAGTGCAGTCAGAGATGGGAAGAAGTAAAAATAGCCTCTTGTTGCTGTAGGCTTTATAGGTATGTAACACTTCTTTACGCATTAGGTTGATACTCCTTACAACATTCATCTTCTAATTCAAGAAATATCTTTGAGCACCCACTATGTATTAAGCATTATATAAGGTATCAGGAATGTACTGATGTATTGTTAAACAACATAAATATAGTCCCTGTGTGCTTTGGAAAAAATACAAGCTCCATGGGAAGAAATAACGGGGCTAGGGTGATCAGTGAACACCTGTCTGTGGAGATGATATGGAAGGTTAAGAAGCAGCCAGTTGTTCTAAAAGTGGGGAAGAAGGGGCACCTGGGTGGCTCAGTTGTTAAGCGTCTGCCTTTGGCTCAGGTCATGACCCCAGGGTCCTGGGATCGAGCCCCGCATTGGGCTCCTTGCTCTGCAGGAAGCCTGCTTCTCCCTCTCCCACTCCCCCTGCTTGTGTTCCTGCTCTCGCTCTCTCTGTCAAATAAATAAATAATAAAAAATAAAAGTGGGGAAGAAGTGTTGTAGCCAGAGAAAACTTGAGCAAATTCAAGATGGGAAAGACACTGGTGTGTGCTCCTCAAGCTTGATGGGCAAGGAGGAGGGCGGAAAGAGGTGTGTGGAGACCAGATCTGGCTCATGCATCGCCTTTTAGGACATGGTAAGGATTTAGAATTTTAAAATTATTATGGGGTTTTAATCAGAAGAATGATGTGAGCCATTTATATTTTTAAGAGATTGTTCTGCTGGGTGGAGAGTAGATTGGAAGGAGGCCCAGAGACCAGAGGGAGGCTCTCAGATGGGTCATCAGATGGGATATGATCATCAGACTTGGTTATGAAGAAAGGGGAGCCATAGCCTGTGATTGGTAGGCTGGAATTACCCCTTCTTTCTGGATGAGAGAAACTAAGATTCAGAAGCCAGGAAACTGAAAACAGTGCATTTACACAGAGCAGACCTCCCATGCGTTTCTGATGAGTTGCTAAACTGCCTAAGTCCGCTAGCACCTCATCTAGCCTAAGGTACACTCACTGTAAACTGTTCAGTGCCAGGTTCTCACACAAATCACTGCAGTAAAGGCAGCAGGGAGACCGGGAAAGAAAGCACACTTCATGTTATCCAAGGTCACACAGGGGCTAAGTGGTAAAGGTGGAAATAATACTATGGTCATCTACTTTTGGTCCAAGGTTCCTTCTGGGATAGTTTGTGGGGATGAGAAAGAGGAGGGTCAGCCAGGGAAGGAGAGGAGGTTTCTCTGGGGCTTGGAGAGTGTGTCTTTATTCCACAGAGACTCCAAGCACCCCAAGTACTGCATCGAGCTGAGTGCCCAGCCTGTGGGGCTTGTCCGGGTACTCAAGGTCCTGGTGGTGGGCAGCACCCAAGAGAGCCTGCATGGCTTCACCCACAAGGTGCGGCTTCCGGGCAAGCATCATCCCCCACCTCCTCCACGTATGTCTCCCTGGTTCCCCTTTAGCAAGGGATTCCTTCTGGCGTCCCTTTCCCTGCAAACTCCAGCCACCCTTTCCACATTGTGCCCTGAACCCTCCCAAGGTAAGAAGCTCTTCCCTCCCAGGGTAAGAAGCTGTGGACAGTGCAGATGCCAGCAGCCATCCTGACCATGAACCTCCTGGAGCAGCGCTCGCGGGGCCTGCAGGCCGTCATGGCTGGGCTGGCCAATGGTGAAGTCCGCATTTACCATGATAAGGCCCTGCTCAATGTCATCTGCACCCCGGTGAGCTGCTCACTCCTCTTTGCCCCCCATTCCCGCCTCTGGGGCTTCTTAGCTGCCTCTTCTGATCCCACTCCACCTGATAATCTTGACTTTTAATGTATTTTTTTTTAAGATTTTATTTATTTATTTGAGAGAGAGCACGAGCATGAGCGGAGGTGGAGGGCAGAGGGGGGGCAGGCAGAGGGAGAGGGAGAAGCAGACTCCCTGCTAAGCAAGGGAGCCTGATGTGGGGCTCGATCCCAGGACCTCGAGATCATGACCTGACCTGAAGGCAGATGCTTAACCAACTGAGCCACCCAGGTGTCCCTCGATGTATTTCAAAAACATTTGTTGAGCATCTCATAAACATAAGTCACTGTTGTGTGGGGGATAAAAACGATGTCTAAATCCTGCCTTCAGGGAATTTATAATCTAAGGTGACAGCCAGACAGAGACACAGCTAATTCAAATACAACCGAGACTTAAAGCAGAGCAGAATACTGACAAGCACAGAGAGGGCCTGGTGACTGGGGTGGTGGTGAAGGATAGATGGGGGTGGAACTCATGAGTCATTTCCGAGAGCAAGTGACAATTCTCCTGGGCCTCGAAACAGTTTGCCAAGTGGATACATGGAGGAAGAACATTCCAGACGGGAAACAGCACGAACAAAGGCTGAGAGGCATGGGTATTCTTGATTAAGGAATCCAGGTGGCTTGATGAGTTTGGACTCGTTTTTCAAACACTAAGTTGTGAGTCATTAAATTAATTTAATGGGTCACAACCAGCAAAAGAAAAAAGAAAGCTCAGAATATATCACATGTGAACTTGTGTGTATGTATGTATAAAGCGCCCTATGTCACAGTATCAAGTTTAAAAGCCGCTGATTTAGACCGCAGGCTTCTGGGAGACAGGTGAGGTGGGGTTTGGGGAAATGGTAGAGGAGAACAGAAAAGGCAGGTTGGAGTCAGATGTGGAAAGCCTTGAATTGTTCTAACAAGGGGGACAAACGCCATTGGAAGTTTTTTGGCAGAAAATAGACATGATCATTTGAAAGGCAGAAATGTGAAGGACAGACTGGGAAGAAACACTAGGCTGAGGGCCTATTACAAAGCTGACCCCAGAAGCCCGGTGACATTTATTCTGGAACTCTGGCCATAGCAGTGAGGTTGGAAGGCAGATGAGAAATACAGGGAATATTTCGGAGGCAGCATTGCCCCAGGCCTTACCTCACATCTCTTCATCATATCATATCTTGGGTCTCCCAAACTTATCACCCCACCCCAGTCTTGCTCTCCTCTCCAAGATATTTCGCCCCCTAAACTCTGGTGTCTCCGTCCTAGGATGCAGTGACCAGCCTTTGCTTTGGCCGCTACGGGCGGGAGGATAACACCCTCATCATGACTACTCGGGGTGAGCGAACTCAGACCTGGCAGGGGTTTTCGAGTTAGGCACCAAGGTGACGGGCCAGATCCCGGGAAGCAACAGGTGGCTGTGAAGCACAGGCAGGCCTGGGTTTGGAAAGCAAGGCCTGCAGACACATGTCCTGTCTGGGGCTGACTCATCATCAGTGTGATTGCGCTATCCACGGGCCAGTGTCTCCAGTTCCCCCCAGTCTCAGAGCTTGCCACGATGCCAGGAACGTCACAGTCAATAAGTAAGTGCTGAATGAATGGTAGGACGTTGTTAAAACACACTTTATTCCTTCTGGAAACCCAGAATCTCGGCAAGAAGACAGACATGGACAGAGATGGCTCTATCTGAGGCAGATGGTTTGGGGAGGACAGACTGGGAATATTGGGTAGAACTAGGAAGGACAGGTCTATTTCTGTCTGTCCACTTTCCTAGGCGGTGGCCTGATCATCAAGATCCTGAAGCGTACAGCAGTGTTTGTGGAAGCAGGAGGTGTGGCGGGCCCCCCACCAGCCCAGGCGATGAAACTCAGTGTGCCCCGCAAGACCCGGCTTTATGTGGATCAGACACTGCGAGAGCGGGAGGCTGGCACCGGTGAGACTCAAACCAGGTCCTTCCTCTTCCTTCTCTGTGGCTCTGAAGCAGCAAGAAACGGGTGAACCCTCCCTGGTTCGTGCCCTAAGCACTGGGAGACCTGAGCAGCCAGGCAGGTCTCCTGCCCCTGGAAGTCCAGAGACAGCCTAGGAGGTATACTCTGCCTACAATACCTGCCTCAAGGTAGAAGATGCTGTGGGTGAGGGCGAGCACCCTATGAATGCAGAGGAGAGAACAGTCGCTTCTAGATGCAGAAATTCTATGGGAGAGAAAGCACACTTCATGTTATCCAAGGTCATGAGAGAATAGAATTGGACCAGGGTTCTTCCTTTTCCTACTCGGTTTTTTCCACTCTTGCACTCATTCTTCCATTCATTCAATACCTGGGATTCTGCCAGGCATTCTGCCAGGTGCCTTGAAATAGGCTAGGCCCAACTTGAGGAGCTCAGTCTCCCTCGCTAATTTCACGCTGCATGATGGGTGTAGAAGAGGTCTCTGGTGAGGCTCACAGGAGTGAGGAAGTTGGCCTGGGAGCCTGGGAGAGGCTTCAGAGAGAGGTGACATTGGACTTCGCCCTGAAATGATTACAAGTCCACCAGCCAAAAAGGGGTGGGGAAAGGAGATCCAGGCCAAGGTGTGGGTAGAGGCACAGAACCCTACCAGGTTTCAAGCAACATCTGCCATGTAGTGACAGGTGCCGTGCAGGAAGGCTGGATGGCCAAAGCACAGACTGGCAAGGCAGGTCAGAGCTGGCTTTGGAAGGGCCTGGAATGCAAAGCTAGGATATTGGTTGATTCTAGGTGGTGGGGGCTGGGAAAGATGTCAAACAGAAAAATACAGTAACTCAACCATCTCTATCTCATAAAGGGACCTTGCTTATACTTTTAAGGGATAACTATGAGGATAAAAGAGCTAGCAGGCTCTTGTAGCCTAGAGAATCCAAGAGAAGCAATTGAAACATTTGAGAAATAATTAGGAACTTATCTAAGGTGACCAAATGTAAAATATACCAAAAAATCAATAACTTGGTATATACCAACTGTAACCAGTCAGAAAATAAAATGCAAAGTTTCCATTCACAATAGCAACAAAATCCGTAGAAATAAATTTAACAAAAGAAAATGGCAGTCTAAGAAAGAAAGTTACAGAACTCTCTAGGACATAAAAGACCACCTGAATATTTCAATGATGAGACTTCCCAAGTCTCAGGGTAGCAAGACCCAATGCCTTAAAGCTGCTGATTAATTAATTAATAGCTTCTAAAATTAATCTAGGAACATAGTGATGTTACAGAGAAAATCCCAGTAGGGTTTACTTTGAGGACTTGGCAAGTTGATTCTAAGAGCAAATCTAAGAAATTTGGGGGGGATTTAAGAATGAGGGCTGGTCAGCAGAATAACCTTTGAAGCTGTAGAAATTGGCAGGTGTGGTAGGACTACAGGAACCTCCGCTGATCCAGGGCACATCTAGAAAGTCCAAAAACAGACCCTCCTCCATGTGGAAGGTCCGTATGTGTTAAAGGTGTCATTTTAGATTAGCGGGGAGAGGAGAGACTGTCCAAAAAGCATGATTAGGACAACTTGCTTCTAGAAAAACAAACAGAATTCTACTTCAAACCAAACACAAACGTTCATTCTGGGTAAATTAAAAATAAGTTGTAAAAGTACCAGAGGGAAAAGGAAAGATTAATGGGTGGGGTACCATAAAGACATAAAACTTCTGAGTGGCAGAAGGCCCCTCACACAAGGAAAGGAACAGGAACAGGCTGGGAAACGAGCGTGCGAAGTCTGGAAGTGTCCCGGCGGGAACGGAGGGGGCGCAGGCTCTGGAGACGGCTTTGAGGAAGAGGCCTCAGGCCTTGGCAAATGACTAGCCGTGAGGGCAGAACCTGGGTAACTTGGTGGATGGGGACGTGGTGACGGAGGTAAGGCGATGAGGTGGGTTTCCGCAGTGCTGAGTGTGAGGTGTTGGTGGGACGTCCGGATGGAGGTGACCATTAGGCAGTTAGAAGCAGGAGGCAGGCCCAGGCACCAAGCAGCCGGAGATGCAGCGCACAGTGTTGAGAGTGGACGTGGGTCGGGCCCGAGTGGGGCCCTGCAGACTCAGTAGTGACGAGTCCCTGCCCTCAGGAGCTCGAGGTTGTTCCTCATTGGGGTGCTCACACTGGGGCAGGGCAGAGGAGGAGGATGGAGAACAAGACTCAAGCGGGTACCAGCCCTTAAGGCAGAATCGCAGGAGCCATCCAGGAGACTGGGCTTGTGCGTGCGGGTAGTGTGGTGGTAGGAAATCAGGAAGGAGGGAGCAGCGTGTGGCCCATAGCATCCTGTGTCACTGGAAGGCCAGGTTATTGCACTCCGTCCTCCCTTTCCCCAATTCCCCGTCCCCGCAGACCCGGCCTTCCTCTTGCGTGTCTGAGCAGCTGCCCACACAGGACACCCCTCTCCCCCACCTCTGCCCCTCCTCCCTCCTGACCTCCAGCACCAGCCCTTTGTGTCCCTCTCCTCAGCCATGCACCGGACCTTCCAGACCGACCTCTACCTGCTGCGCCTCCGGGCCGCCCGTGCCTATGTGCAGGCCCTCGAGTCCAGCCTGAACCCTGTGTCTGTGACGGCCCGGGAGCCCCTCAAGCTGCACGCTGTGGTGAGTGAATACCCAGGTGTGGGGGGAATCAGGCCACCTCAGGGCCGGAGGGACAGAGGTCAAGGGTGAGTAGGAACCCCTCAGCCCCAGAGCCAATTCTGAGCCCACTAGGCCTTGTGCCTGCTTCTCACCTCCCCTAGGCCCAGAGACCAAGCCGCAGAGTGGGCCATACCCTCCAGCTCCTTTGGCCCGTGCTGTGCCTCAGACAAGCCCCCAGATTTGGGGCAGAGCACGCAAGTAGTCACCTTGGGACGTTTCTTCCCAGGACTGGAGGGACTCTCACAGCTATGGTGTGAGGAAGAAAGTTGTTGATTCCAGTAACCGCGGGCAGCCTGAGGTGTTAGGACTGCCTGGTACAGGGAAGGGAGGTCCTGGGACTGGCCCAGGCACAGCAGGAGGAGCCCCTGCACTCAGACACAAGTGACCACGAGGTCATCTGGGCTCTGGCCAGTGCTCAGTGCGTCCCGGAGGTGTGCCGTCTGACCCACTGGGTTTCCGATTTCTCTTTCCCTAAAGGAAGTGGATAGATAGAGAGAGGAAGAGGCTGCAGAGCAACCGAGGCTAAGAGAGAGGAAAATGAAGTCACTGTGGCCACCACAGGACGAGAGTGGGCAGTGGAGAGAGCCTGGGAAGACAGGGGCAGGGACAGTGGTGAGTCCACAGGTGGGAGTTGGGGCATGCATCCCCAGGCCAGCTCTGCCTCTGACCAACTTGCTGAGTGGCCTGCATCAAGCCCATTCCCCTCTCTGGGCCTTTGCTGATCCCCGTACAAGCAGGAGCCAGCCTTCTGTGCTTCCGAGGGGCCCCTTGATGAGGGGCAGGACAAAGCATTAGAGCAGGTGGGGAAGAAGGTGACACGAGGACATTGATGAGAAGGCCGGAGGGCAGGACCAGGGCACATCAGATTCAGTGCCCAGGGCTGCTGGTTAAGGGTTTTCTCCACCCACCCCACCTTCTCCACAGGTTCAGGGCCTGGGCCCCACCTTTAAGCTCACACTTCACCTGCAGAACACCTCAGCAGCCCGACCCATCCTGGGGCTCCTGGTCTGCTTCCTGTACAACGAGGTGCTCTATGCCCTGCCCCGGGCCTTCTTCAAGGTACTGGGCCCACCTCACTGAGACATGGCGGTGCCCACCAAGCCAGAACAGATCAGTGGTGAGGGAACTGGGAGGTGGCTACAGCCACAGACCAGGCTGGCGTATGACAGAGATCTCTGGGGAGAATGCCCAAGCCTTGCCTCGCTGCCTGAGAGAGGTCTTGGGGAGCCAACAGAAGGTTCTAGGAGAACAGCTAGAGTCAGGCTCCCACCTGGGCCTCTCTTAGAAGCCTGTTGGTGCTGGGATCCCAGAGCCCATCCTGCCTCACAGCCATACCTGCAGTGGGAGTGGGAGCTTCTTTCTGCCCCAAGGAGAATTTTCCACAGTGAAGGGCCTGCTTTCCCACCAGGGTCCAGGTTTGACCCTAAGTTGGTAGGACCAGAAACTGAGAAAGACTCTGGGACTTGGTTGGGAGTCAAGAGGTCTGGGTTTAATCCTGGACATACATTTGGTCCTGGAGCGTCCACTCCCCTCACTGAACCGCATGCCCCGTGAATGGGCCTGTCAGCCCTGCCCGCCCTGCCCCCTGGATTATTAGCTTCTATAGCAGGCATGAGAGCGCCCTGGAATCTGCTAAACACTGTCCAGGCATGAGGGCTAATTTCCTTACCTCTTTGTCCCCAAACTCAGGTCCCCTTGCTGGTGCCAGGACTCAGCTACCCCCTGGAGACCTTTGTGGAGAGTCTCAGTGACAAGGGCATCTCAGACATTATCAAGGTTGGTGGTCCATTGGTACTACAAGGGGAGGACAGTGAGAGTGAGGTGGACAAGGCCCCCGGGTGGCTGCTGGCTCAGAGTGGGTATCTGCAGCCCCGTCCCCTTTGACACAGCCCTGGTCGCCTGTGACTGGGCCCAGTGCAGACCAGGCCAGGCTTATGTTTGCAGGGGGCAGGGAGGACAAGGGGCCTGCCCCTACTGCCGTGGGTACCTCCTCTGTAGGTGCTGGTGCTCCGTGAAGGCCAGAGCGCACCCCTGCTGAGCGCCCATATCAACATGCCCGTGAGCGAGGGGCTGGCAGCTGCCTGACCCCTGGACTGGTGTTGAAGCCCCTGCAGAATCAGGACCAGGAAGATCCAGCCCCTTGCACTGAGCTGGGCAGAGCCAGTGGCCCCAGGCCCATTCCCCGAGCAGCAGTGTGTTAGGGCTACAGTTTCCTTCTCCTTTCCTCTAAGGGTCTCCTTTCTCACCACCCTGACTGCTGGGTGACCTATAGAAGCAGGTCAGTGAGTTTCAGCCCCTTCCCCCTCAGGAAGTCCCAGGGGACTTCTCTGCATCCTCCCCACTTTTCTCCAGAAATGACACCAGGTCCGAAGGAATATCTTTGAAGTGGTTAATGTGTGATGAGGGGCATAGGCCCAGTCTTCTCCTTTGCTGCTTTCCTTAGTCACATTACTCGTGTGTGGCTGCAGGCCCAGGCCAGAATTGGCTACGGCCTGACCTGGGATAATCAAGAGGCTTTTCTTGGGCAAGACTGAGCCCTCTGTTGCTGCCTGGGGTTCCAGAGGCTTGGCTGATGCTAGCTCAGCTTACAGGCAAAACACATGCTCTGATCTCTCCTTGTGAGCTAAACAAGGGACCCCCTCTTTCTATTCAGGGGGCTCAGGGAATAGCTGCCTCCCCACAGGGGGCTTTCCTGAAATTTGGGCTCAACCAAGGTCTCAGGCCTGTGATGCTCCATGAGGGTTGCCAAGGGAGGAACTGGTACAGGAAGGCATAGAGTGCCCATGCAGGGAGCTAGTGACCCCCGCCCCCACAAGGCTTCTGAAGACCACACAGCTTCTGCCCCTGACTTGGATTTTATGCCCAGAAAGGGCGTCCCAGGAGAGGAAGGCCCAGTTAGAGCAGAGGTGGGGCTAGGGTGCACAGGAGAGGTGTTTCTGGAATCCTGGGGAAGTGGCACAGGAGGCAGAAGCCCGGAACAGCTCTTCTATGCCCTGGAGCCCAGGTCAGTCACGTAAGTGGGAAGTTCACCGGGCAGGGCCATAGTGTGAGAGAATGAGCTGGAAAGGCATGGACCAGAGGCATTGAGTGAGGCTTAACCCTGAGGGAAGGCACATATTTAGACCACAAGGACCAGAGACCCACAGTCCTGGCCTTCGGTGCCTCCTGGAGCCCTGGCCGGTCTGCCTGGCCCACTCTCAGCCTCTGTTAGGCTCGTGCTACCAGGGCCCCCCTGAGCCACTTTGTGAGCCAGGAACCCTGCTCTTTGAGGACCTGTATCTTCCTCTGTCTGACCAGGTGCAGCCTAGCATGTGGTAGGTATCTCAGCTTGTAGGAAGTAACCAAATCCTTCTGGGTTAGTTCCCCACATGTAAAATGAGGCAGTTTGACCAGATTCAGCTCTAGCATCCTATGAACTGGGCAGCCTATAGAGGAAATGAGGAGACAACTCCAGAAAGGGCATATTTAACAGGAGTATCTGCAGAGCTTTTGCCCTTGATACCAAGGGCCCCACCTAACTGCCGTGGCCAGGCAATAGCCTCTGTGTCCAGGACACCAGTGAGGGATTGGGGTGACACAGCTCACAGCCCACTCCCTAACTCTTCCAAGGAATGCATTCTGGGGCCAGGTTAAGAGAAGCATTGGGGGAGGGGGATGGCTCAGTTGGTTGAGGGTCCTACTCTGGATCTCAGCTCCGGTCTTGATCTCGGGGTGGTGAGATCAAGCCCCGCGTTGGGCTCCGAGCTGGGTGTGGAACCTACTTAGAGAGAGAGAGAAGCATGGGGTCTGGACCAAAGAAAGAGCCCATCCCCTTCCTCTGTGCACAGTCTGGCCACTCGCAGACATAGATCAATTGGATCAGAATGGTGAAGGGTCTCTAGATCAAGCCAAGTGAGGCACAGTTAGAACAAGCAGGAGGTTTAACCTGGAAATGGAAAGAATAATAAAGGGAGTGTCACTGTCAGTCAGAGAGATTTCAACTTAACCTGAAGAACTTCCTGAGAGAGCTTATCAGAGATGGAAAGGCCTGCCCTACAAGGTAATGAGCCCCTTGTCACTGGGGCTGGGCTTCACAGGGTTGTGTGCTGGGCCACATGACCATAGAATCTCTTCTACCCCAATCAAGTGATGACTATGTGAACTTGGAACAAAAAGTGTGATCTGGATTCTGTTCGTAGCTATTCATGATGATGAAAATGGAGAGACTTCCAGCGCCTAATGAGAGTTTGTATGATGTAATACTACATATCGATGTGAACTGTGTCGATGTGGACAAGTATACATAAAGCAATATGAAACCAGGGACAGTGCATGGTACCCAGTGCCCTCACTAGTTAGAGCTTCAAGAGATTGTGGACATTAGGGATGAGGGGAGTTGGTATCTTTTACATGTACCTACTTAGTACTATGGAGTTAGTTTATAACAAGAAAATAACCTCTCCCCATTCCCCACTACTGCTCTCTTACTACAATCATTTTCAGTTCTCTTAGCTGTTATTTTTTTCAGTAACTTCTGAGTCCAATCTGGGGCTTAAATTCACGACCCCAAGATCAAGAGTCACATGCTCCACTGACCGAGCCAGACAGGTTCCCCATTAGCTATTTATTTTAAAAAATATGCTTCAGGACACCTGGGTGGCACAGTTCATTAAGCATCCAACTCTTGATTTTTGGCTCAGGCCATGATCTCAGGGTCAGATCGAGCCCTGTGTCAGGCTCCACGGTGAGTGAGGAGTCTGCTTAGGATTCTTTCTCTCCTGGGTGCCTGGGTGGCTCAGTCAGTTAAGCGTCTGCCTTCAGCTTGGGTCATGATTCCAGAGTCCTGGGATTGAGCCCCACATCGGGCTCCCTGCTCAGCGGGGTGTCTGCTTCTCCCTCTCCCTCTGCTCCTCCCCCTGCTTGTGCTCTCTTTCGCTCACTCTCTCAAATAAATAAAATCTTT